AAGTCTATGGATGCTGCAGGTTCACAGCACTACATGCTGAATCAGGCCATTGAGGAGCTGTTTTCCAGCTGGTTGCCACTAACCCTCAGCATGGTCTCCACAGACGTGAACAAATTACAGAGAGTTAAAAGGGAGCGGGGGTGTATAATACATCAACTGCTTTGTGGTTACTATCCAGGAGCCAGCTCTTACTTCACAGTAAGTGAAAATAAATCAGACCAAATTGCCCCTCAGTCAAGCAAGGCTAAAGTACCATAGTTTAGTTTCTGATTGCTGTGGGCTAAGAGCAGGCATGCAGTGGGTCAAAACAGGAGGAATTCTCCCCATTGAACTCACTGCAAGGTGGCTGTCCTTACTGTAAGAAGAAGGGGAGGGAAAGCAGTTTGGTTTTGTATAAGAAATAACAGTGCTGCCAAACCCAGTCCTAGTATTAGAAATGGCATGCCTTGGAAACCCCCCCATTTGGTAAGGTTAATATACTTTTTTACCTACACAAATTATCTATCCCTCAACAAATGGGAAGGAGGGATGTGACTGGAAGTACTGGTTAAAAGAAAAAAAAACGAATGCTCAAAAATCCTCTCTATTTAAATAATCCAGTTGAGACTTTTTAGTTTAAAAAAAATACAACAGATACTGTTACCTACACTAAGAAGAGAGTAAATCACTGGAGAAAAGAATGAGTGTCCATTAGGTTTAACATTGCTAGACTCATATATACAGCACCAGAGACTGTAAAGATCCATCCCCCCACGGAGTCATTGCAGTTTGTGATAAATGAAACATTTCAGAATTGCAGTATAAAATATGGCCATAAAAAAATCTTCTTTCTTCTAGTCCTTCGTTGAGTGCACAATGCAAGATGAGATCGCTCGGAGTAGATATGCCTGCCCACATGCCGCTTCTGTCTCTACGCTCCTACGCTGGTCACTTGCTGCCTGTGTGCACTGTTGTTACTGTGGTCGGTCTGGGTCTCCGTTCTCCTCCTACTGCAGAAATGCCTGAAGAAGCAGATGAAACAAAACTACAGAGAGTGGATGGGGACATACCTAAAAGGAAAGCCAGAAACACTGATGAGCAAGTGGGTAGAATGAGCAAGGAATGAATGCGAACATACCACTGATTTCCAAACAGTGTTTCCCTAAAAGCCTTCCACAAAGCAAAGGAACAGCTTGTGGAAGAACAACAAGCTGCGTGGTTTTCTATCCTTCCCACAGTGATGAATCCAGCAGGGACCTATTCATTCCCCTTTTTCATATGCAGCTCCTCCTATGGACGCCAGTGGGAGTTTTAGGCATGGATCATAGAGTAGTTTCTTAATCAAACTCTGATGGTGACTACAGATGCTGACAGCCAGAGGCCCACATGGCAGTCTTCTTGTGACTGGCTCAGCGCAGAATTGTCTTACACTGCAAACAGGTGTGCAACACTGAGAACAGGAGCTGTGCTCTGGAAATGGCCAGACTTACTTAGACTTGAACACACATGCTTACTGATGTGTACTGTATGCAGTTTTAACACATCACCTCTAATCTGACCTACTCTTTTCACACAAGTATAAGATAACTAGGATATATCTTGGCAAAACATAGTCTCAGGCTAATATCATGTCCACCACCTTCTGTGAGTTTGAAACAGCTGTGCTGAAACACTTACAGGATCATTAGTTATTAAATCATACTAAATCATTGCAGGCGGCTGGTATAATTTGTGCCAGCATTAAATTTACTAGTAAAGGGATCATGGAGTATCAAATCTTTTAATAGTGGCAGCAGTTGCTTTCTGTAAGCTGCTGTTAATTCACAGCTGCTTGCTCCTTTGAGTGCTACCACCAGTTATCAGAAGATAGGGACTAACCACCATGCCTGTTCTGTCCTGACGTGACTGTAAACAAGTCCTTCTCAAGGCTGAATCGTGGCATCTGTATAACCATGTACCAGATTTCTTTGGCTTCCATCCCCCGCTATATGACATGGTGGAAAATAGTTAGGGCACAACAGAACCTGTGCAGAACTCCAACAGCGACTTGACTATGGAGGCATTGTTTGATGCAAGACCAGTCAGTAAGCCGAAGAGAGATTGATGGGGTTTCATTGTGAGGCAATGAACTGAAGTTGGAAAAAAACAGCCCACGTTTTCCTCTTGGAGTGAGAAGCATTCACTTCAATGGAGTTACTCCTGCAGCACAGGAGGGCAAGCAAGAGCCGGCCCCAGCCCCAAGCCTGTGATTCAGGGAGGACTTATGTGATCTTTTGTCACTGAGTGTGGGACCAGAGATGAGTCATTTGCATCGATTTACACCTGCCCAGTACTTTGCCTTTACAGTAACTTATTTTCCCATATAAACTAATGAGAAAGGAGCAGGCAGGAAAGGGACCCTCAGAGATATTCCCTTTCCCAACAAATAGTTGATTTACATGTATCTGATGCATATCCTATTTCCCAGTGTATAAGAGGCACCTCTGTAAAAAAAAAAAAACAAGCCTCCCCAAAAGTATAATATTGTGAGGAAAAGGTTTTTAACATAAATTCAACTGAATTTTGGTCAGCCTTAATTACAATGATTTCAGTTATTTTCCATTACTGAGCTTCAGGATGTAGCACACCTTAATTTACACCTCCCTTTCAGGAAATAAAAAGTGCCTAGTACACTAGAAAGCATGGTAAACCCTCTCTTATTTTCCTTTGTTGTAACTGTTTTGCAGACCAGGATCTCCAGATATCTCTCTAGGGTCTTTGGCATCAGCTGCAGTAGTCTCCCCTAACTCTTCTGCTTAACTGATTTCTTCCAAAAAATGGAAGTTCTTGCTAACGAGCTTTCTCCTTGGGTTTGGTGCATGCTGAGGAATCCAGCAGTTATTTTCTACTTTAAGATCCAGATAACATTAAAAATACCCAGCTCAGCATATCTGGCCACTCTTAACATCATTCTGCAGCATTCAAGCACTAGATACTGCATGGGCACATCTGAGCACTTGGACCAGTGTATGTGGGTTTTGTTCTTGGTCTCCTTTCCTTAAACCAAGAGATTCTCCATTATACTAATAAAAACTACTTGAGATCAGAGGCAGTGAGAGATCAGCCTTCTGCAGCTCTGGCTGTACGGCAGGCCCCACATTCACAAGCTGTTCTCAGAATCAAATTTTCATCCAGGCTGTCTCCAGCACTGGGCTGCTGACTGCCACCTCTGGCAAGGACGATCTAGGTCCCCAGCAGAAGCAATCTGGCATCACGTCACTCATATGGAGGCAACAGTTGTGTGATCCAAGAAGGCCACTGGAGAAAGAGCCCTGCTTTCCTGGAAACTGCTGGAGGATCTGTACTGGACTATTCCTGGCAAGCAGGTTTTTAATGCAATATACTTCGGTCAGCAAATACAACCTCAGTCGAGCGAACCAAACACCATTGCACGGTGCTGTAGGAAAAGCCAATTAAACCACCAGTGAACCTGTGCAGGAAGTGTCAGTTTAATAAGCTATTAGCATACCTAGTCTGTTCCACAGCTTAACGCTCAATCTAACAGGAGTTTATCTAATAGGTAAGCTTACATCTCCCCATTTTTAATTGACATTTTATGATAGGAGAAACCCTCCAAACACAGGGGTAGGGTGGGGGGAAGACAATAAACACTCAAGAAGCCTGGATAAAATGGATTTCACTGGGAAGAAAGCATCACAGATGCAATCTTCTAAAAGATGCCTCTGCCACTCTCCCTCCTTCCCTGGTGTTCAGAAGAACATATAGGCCAAGAGTTCAAATTCACTAGGCAGCTCTGAAAGCCTCACGTCTAATGTACAACGGAAGGCAGGATAGACTTGTACCTTATAGACTAACTAAATCAACAACCCATACGCTTTCATAGGTAGCAGCTTGCTTCCTCAGATGCTGAGATACTGTACAATAAGCAACTCACTGGGCCAGATCTGATTTTGGTGTAGGAGGGTTCAACTTCTGTTAAAGTAAATGGGACTATGCCTGCTTACACAGGAGCTGAATTTGGCCCCAGGATTCAAGGACTGATTCTGGCTTCTCAGCCACAGTAGACATTTGAGAGGGGACTGGCACGGAGGGGTGACTCCCATGAAAAATATAAGCGAAAATTAAACAAACTTACACAGAAAATTTGACTTGTCTTTAAAAACAAAATAACCAAATAAAATATTTTCATTTGAAAAGTTTTTGATTTCTATTTAACCTCTCACCCACCCCCCACCAAAAACCCATTTTTTTTTGCTTTCTGGGGTTTGTTTTTTTCTCCAGCGGAAAGCCAACATTTGCCAGCAGACACTTTCTGCAAAAGAACATGTGACATTGAAAAGCCAGTTCTCTACGGAAAAGCAATTTTGACAGAAAAGTTTGGGTCACAGTCCTCTGGACAAAGAACAGCTCAGCCTAGTTACAGTCCTTATGTGAAACACCCGTGATGATGAAGTCAGTCAAAGTAAGGATTGTAGCACTTGTCTCAAAGAGAAAACACTGTATTGTCAAATCTGTTAGGCTGCCACAGGTTGATGGGAAAAGCAACATGAACTCTGATCCAGCCTACCCTCAAATGGCTTAAGTCTAGGCTGTGCACCTGGCAACCCCCAAAAGGTTAACAGACGGCCCACAATCCCCCACCTAGTCACCACTCCTCTCCCAGTTGGGTCTACCAGTACAAAGGAGCTAGGAGGGGGCTGGCATTGGGCAACCCACCCAGTGTGCGGAGGGAGATGGGGATACCCAGCTGGCCACGCAGTCTGTGGCTCTCAGGGCCATTTGGCTCCTAGCTGCCTGGAAGTTGGACAGCCCTTGCCTAAATATATGCAGGCTTGATCTACACAGGGTGACTGCGGACTGATGGGCAGTTCCCAGTTAGGAGTGGGCCACAGCCTTGCTCCGCTCTCGTGTACTCACAATCTTTCCTGGCTGTTCCGTCGGATCGTGGGTTGGTCAGGCTGAGGGTGTTTGACACACCTGCGTTTGAACTGTCCAGGCTACTGCCGAGATGTAACCTTCTCATGTGTCTCACGACTGCTGTGGCGTTGAACGCTTGCTGGAAAAGAAAAAAGCACAGGATCACTCGGTTGTTGATTTTATTCTGTTTATTCGCAATTGCTATTATGATTTCACAAGTTTCTGTTTTGGAAACTGGAAAGACTCTCTCAGGTCTTGAGCTTATATCTTTTACTCCCATTGAGGAGAGCTTAGGAGCCCACCGTGGGCCCCTCTGTGCCAACTGACAAAGGATATGAGCTGCCACAGCTCTCAACTGCAGTGTTGCCTCTTCAGCTCCAATTATACCAGCTCATGCTTTTAATTGTGCACACACCAGGTTCAGTCCTCGGTGTCCATCACACCTATAAACACGAGTAGTATGACTGCCTAAATTGCTGAGCCCCAATTTGATGGCTGTAGACGCTGAATGTACAGCAATGCAGCAGCTGTTTTTATTAGTGCTAGAGGTGCACTGATAAAGATTTTCTTGGCCAATACCGATAGCCACTTATTAACCAGCCATATTGGCCGATACCGATCCAATAACTGATTTGGTTACATGTGATGCTGGAGGCTGATGGAGCGTGCCAAAGAAAAGAAAGGTTTATTTCTGTCAGTACTTAAAAATGTACTGACATAAATAAACCCTTTTTTTCTGGCATGCCCCAGCAGCCTCTCAGGTCATATGTATCAGTGTCCCAGCACTTAACAATGGCAGCAGGGGTGCTTGAACTAAAGCTCCGGGACACTTTTAAGTGTGGCAGAGCCAAGTGGGGTGAGGGCAGATGTAGGCTGCCTGCTGTGGGCTCAGGGCTTTCTGCTCTGCTGCCTTTTACTCCAGGAGCCCTGCGCTGGCCACGTCCCCCCTGCCCACCCAGCAGCAGGGACACAACTCGCTACCCCCACTGCTGCTGTGTGGGCAGGGGGTACACAGCCAGTGCGGGGCTCCCAGGGAAAAGGCAGAGCAGAAAGCCCTGAGCCCACAGCAAGCATCCTGCATCCACCCCGTGCACAAATCCGGGGGGGGCCACATGCCCCACCCCCAGCGGGTGTGCACAATGGTGGGGAGCCACCCCTGAGGGCCCCCGGACAAGCCTCCCATGGCTTTGTCCTGATCCCTGCCCCAGCCCTGGGTCCCATGCACTGCCCTAGCTGGACAGTGCCACTAGTCCCAGCCCCAGCCTCAGCCCCTTCCCCACTCCATCCCTCACCATGGGGGCCTCAATCTGCTCCCCTCCTCCCCCATGCCCACTTCCCTCCCCCATGTCCCTTTCCCTCCACAGACTTACCTGCATGGAGCTGCTCTCCATGCTGCCTGGCTGTATTCCCGGCCATGTGCACATGGGAAGCACCCCCTGCGTCCCACTTCTGCAGCCCCAAGCAGGACCCCTTGCAGGCTAGAATGCTGCCCACCTGCAAGGGGAAACCTGCCATTTCCTGAAGGAACCCAGGCATCCAGGGGCCCTGACCTCATAGGCAAGAGGGAACCCAAGTGTCCAGGGGCCCCAATCAAAAGGCATAATTAATTATATGTATAGGAGAACATTATCGGCTACAACAGCCAAAAAAACCTGATAGCCAATAATATAAATTTCCCTTTTTTTGGTGTGGATCCGATATGCAACTGATATATCGGTGCACCTCTAGTTCGTGCTTCCCAGTGTAACCCCCGTGCAAAAGTCACTTACTCTCCATTTGCTTTTTGCAAAGTTCTTTCGGATCTGAGCGCTGACTGACTCATGGATATTTTTACTGAGGGCGGTGTCACCAGCAATCCTGAAACAAAAACATCCTATTAAAAAAATGCTTTGCTCTAAAATAGTCTCTCATGCCTCTCACTGTATAAAAGTCATCAGAGGGGACCAGTGTGTGAAGCACGATGGTTTATGCAGTGAAATGACGGCCTCATATGCATTGGGCTTTTTGCCTCAAATTTCCCACTGTTGTCACTGCTGGCAGCAACGCGAGAAAATCTGGGGCAATAAAATCTAGCGCAGACAAGGTCTGTTGGTCTGACAGTTGCAAACAAGTTTGACCTCTGTGGGTGTGTGGCTGCTTTCTATCATCCTTACAGTCCTATCTGAAATCACTCCACTTCTTTTTCTTCCACAGCTTCAGTTTTAACATCAACATGTTGAGACTAGCTTTAGCCTCAAGATAGGCAGCAGTTTCCAAAACACTCCAACCTGTCTGAATTATGTTTGTCTTGGAGATTTTCGTGCCACGCTGAACCATACATAGCTGTTTGCCATAACGAATGTACATTTACAACAAAGCAGATACATGGATTCTCTGACTACAGGCTCCACAAGATAGCTCAACCTCAACAAAACACAGTCTTAAAAAAATGTTCCAGCTCTCATGCCAATAATTCATTTTTGCAGAAAGGGACAAATTCGACCCTGCTGCAGTCCAAGTGATTGCATTGGAGGATTGCTCTAGCAGTAACCGTAGAAGCCGGTGGTTTTTATGTCATCTGTCAGGGACACATTCTTTGCACCCCTCGCCCACGTAATGCGACCGCAGTCAGGAAGCAAAGGCCTCTCCTCTAGCAAGGGAATGTGGCAGAAACGTGAGGGAGCAAGTTGTAACACTCCCCAAGTTTCTTGGAAGCCAAATGACGTTGCAGAGAAACCGGAGAGGGTGATAACTTTCACACTGATGCATCTGACAGACCCGGAGACATTAGAGAGAGAAAATACTTCCCCAGTGAGAGCCCGAAGGGGACTGCAAACTGCTCGGCAAAGTCATCCAGAAATGTCAAGCACATGGTGCACCCAAGAAGAAAGTCTCTTGTGCAAAGGTACAGTTTACTGACAAGGTACAAGCTGGGACCACTGAGTGCCATGTGATAAAGCTCAAATGTGCAAACTGGAGCAAATCAATGAACAAAGAATGAGAGACCACATTTTTAGTCTAGTAACTGATAATCAGGGAAAAGCAAAGTTGTGAAATCCCCTGGTGGCTTTTCTGCACCTTCCATTTAATATACATTGGATAAACAGAGGGAGGATGGATCTGACACTAGGGCCCCCTCCCTACCAGGGCCATACCCACCAAACAGAGCCCCCATCCCCACTGCTTGCTCTTTTGCTCCTGGTCCCATGTGTCTTCCTCTCTTGGCCTCCCAGGGGATCAGCTTCAAGAAGAAGGCTGCTGGCATTGGCTGGGTGGTTAGTGCACTGTGCTGAGATGCAGGTTCAAACCCCTTCTCTCTGTGAAAGGGACCTAGAAAGCAGATCTGCAGCTGCCCAGGCAAGGTGAATTTATTGGTCAAAAAGGAGGGGAGTTTACTTCCAGTCATGGTTTTTCTCTGATTGAATTCTGGGATTGGCACAACATGATTTGTGCACGCAGGTGATCTTATTCCATCCTATTCTGCTCCAAAATAGATGAAGTGTAGTGTGCAGCCTTCTGAGCATGTTCAAAAGGGAACCACGAGGTGACTATAACTATGCAAGTGCAGAAGGAACTCAAAGACTGCAAAGGTGCCCAAAGCTGCATTTACACAGTTAGGTAAGTGCTACTTGAGGGTGTAAAAGTGAAATAGGATTTAGCCCTCTGTCTTTCTGTGCTTTTCTGTAAAATCAGGTTACCAATACTTCCCTACCTTCCCGGGAAGATTACTTAAGAGTGTAAGGTCCTCAGCCACCATAATGAGGAGGCCCATAGAAAAATCTAAGGCAGCAATTCTCAACCAAGGTGCAACAACACCTTTGGGTACCATGAGATCACTTTAAAGGGTACAGTACAATATTAGCATTGCCATGCGTGCAAACACTTACACATGGTTCACAAGATAAACCCAGAGATGTCAAATAGGAATCCAGAGGGTCCAAAACACTCTGCCCTGCTGTGGTCTTTCTGAGTTCTTTGCAACAGAAGAATTGCTCTATTATTTTTCCACAGTCAAAAAATGGATGAAAGCTAAGAGCTGGCATTTTTGAAGGAGGCCTTGAGTCTAAAAAAGGTTGAGAACCACTGCTCTAAGATATTTTTAAGAGCACATGCAACTATTTTGAGTGATTAACTCAGACTAGAATAATATAACTGCAATACCACTACCACTGTGTGCCTACATAGTACCTTCCATCTGGAGGATCTCAACTACTCATGCACTGCACTGTTCAGGAACAAAAAAATCTTAGGTTAAAAAATAAAACCCATTCTGGAATAAAGCATGATCTTACAGTGTGCTGAGCATCACATGCAACTGTGTGGGAACTGATTGGCTTAAGCTAAGGGTATCAAACATGGTCCGTAGGCTGAAACTGGCCCCCAGAGCCCCATAATCTAGCCCCCAGTGGTGTCCCATTGACCCTGCAGGTGAGAGCAGGGGGGCGGCCGTGTGGCTAGATGAGTTTGACACCCTGGATTTAAGCTTTCAATGCTGGGTTATTGGTTTGCAGTGACTGAGAGATTTTAAAGCATGACAGCGTTTGGATGGACCGTGGCATCGCGCTTGTCTTTAGTCCAGTTGTGAGTAGATAAGGGTCCATGTTCTAAGTGGTATGAACTGAAATCTCTGTTGACATTTTTAGAGCAAAGGTTGGGGACAGCATGAGCCTGGAAGAGTGAACTCTTCCTACAGGGGTCAGGTAAGGAGCCCACTCACAGGGTTGCAGGCAGAAGCTTGTTTTGTGGAAACAGGCAAGGCTCCAGCAAGTCTGCCATTTTTCTTAAGAGCTCAGGGCCTGATCTTCCAAGGTGCTAAACTCACAATGGGCCTGTCTACACATGTAGTTATGTGCTCCTAACCTTAATGCACCTTTGTTTAAGGTGCATTAACCTTGCCACACCTTTGTTTAAGGTGCATTAAGGCAATTTAGGATGCGTCTACATGTAGATGTGCTAATGTGTATTAAATTTAGGCTGGCATTAGTTAAGTCGCATTAGCCCATGTTTAGCCACGCTAATGCACATTAACACAGCGCGCATCCATTGACGCATACCATGTTAATGCCATTAAGCATCTACTTGTGGACTAACGTGACTTAATTATGCCATCGTAAATTTGGTACTTGCTTTAAGCCGGTATTAAATTTAGGTAGGCTTAGCCTAAAACCACCATTTTGGGGTGGATTAATGGCATGCATATGTGGACATGTGCCCTTAATGGGCCTTAAAAATGGCAATTTTAGGCTAATCCCACTTAAAAGGACCATGTATAGACAAGTCCAGTGTGTGCAGAGAGTGCTCAGTCTTGCAGGACTGTGCACCCATGCCAGATTCTGACGGCCTTCTTAATGAATGGCACCTTCCTCCATGAGTAATTCCACTGACACATATTATATGGGACTACACATCGCAAGGCACAGATAACAGAATGGGGCACTGAACTTGCAAAAGGAATCTTATTTCATGATCAAGTCTTACGGCAGGTCTAAGCCACAGTCGTGATACCCAGGACATTCCTGAGCACACTCCAACATCCTGCAGACCCACTCCTGTCTGCATGCTCTAAACCTGGACATAAACTGGCCCAGCTGCTCTGGAGCTGTTCTTAGCAGTTGCTCTCAGGCAGGCTGAGATCTGAACAGCAGCCCTGGAAGGATATCCCAGAGTGGACTCAGTGATGCATTTCCAGGTTTGGAGGATGTGAATGGGAGTGGAGGTGGAGCACAAGGAGGAACATCTTAGCAGGGATGCACTGTTGCTGAAGTGCAGATGTACTGTTATTTTATCTAAATCAATTTATTTCACCCACCTACCTGGGCTCAGTTTGCTTTCTATAATCTCTCTCGCTCTAGTGCTCTCAAGCTTTGAAGGAACTTCCAACGAAGACAAAACACATTCGTTCCCTTTTGGATCATTCTTCGCTAACATACTGCAAAGCATATGTTCCTTTGGCTCTGCGTCTTCCCTGCCCGCAATAGCAGTTAGACCCTTTCATCTGGTATTATTTTCAGAACCTTCATGCTTACTGAAGACAGCCAATTCAAACCTTCTGCTGGCCAACTCGTACTTGGAAATACTCCTCGGTATGATGACAGGAAACATGGCATTAGCTGTGATGGATAATGCTGAAGGAGCGTAACTGTTCTGGTTATGTATATATTATAGATACACACACACATACAGCACCAGCAATGCTCCAAAATAAACAGAGTGCAGGGATGAGCCAGATAAGAGACTGATTGAATATTGTAAACAGCACCAGTCCCCTTCAGGGAGCCTTTTCACACTTCAAACAACGTTGTCTGAGAACAGAGCTCTTTATAAACAATTTTCCTTCGCTTGAGGGAAGTTATTAGCTGGGTAGTACATCCTGGCGCACCATAAACACTCAGTGGCACTAATACAATTTCCAGAGGTCCAGTGGATCTCCAACAGACCCCCAAATTCTGGATAGGAATAAGAAAAATCAGGAAACAGAATACCTCCCAGCTCTGGTTTATCTGACTTTGGTACAAACCTCTCCCAAATGTGCTATCTCTGAGTACCTCCCAACATCAATCCTAAAAATGATTACTTAGTCTGAAGAAAAGAAGGCTGAGGAAGGCTTTGATGACAGTCTTCAAATCCCTGAAGGGAGATTATAAAGAGGACGGAGATTGATTTTTCTCTGTGGCTGTAGGGGACGGGACCAGGAGCAATGGCCTCAAACAGCAGCAGAGGAAATTTGGGTAGATGATTAGGAAGAATGCTCTGACTCTGATGGTGGTCAAGCGTTGGAACAGGCTGCCAAGAGAAGTTGTGGCAACTCCATCCCTGGAAATTTTCAAGAGTAGGTTAGACAGACACTTGGCTGGGATGGCTCAGTCTGGGATGATCCT